AGGGGTCGGGCCAGAGGGGAAGCAACGCGGGGAGCGTGGGAGGAAAGGCGACCGGCCAGAACGGATGCCAGGGGAGAGCTTCGGGGGCGGAGCTCGGGGGTTGCGGCGCGGGCCGGGTTGCCATGCTGAAGGGGGTGCTCGAGCGGGGTGCCGTAGTTTGAGGGCGGCGGAGGCGGCGTGCCGTAGTTGGAGGGGTCTGAGGCCGGAGTGCCGCTGCGGGAGACGGCTGGGGTGGAGCGGCGACCGGCGGAGCCTGGCTCTTCGCCGGGACGGAAATCTGCAGTTATTGTTAACGTTCAAGTCCATAGCGTGGGTGCGGATGGAGTGCTGGTGATTCAAAGCCAAGTAGGGTATGTTTGTGCCGGGTCTGGTAATGCATTGAGTCCCCGCGAGGATAGCTCATTTGAATGAACGAACTCACCTCGGAACGCAGTCTCAATGTCGACGGGGAGAAGCTCAGGCGGCGTGGACTCGGGTTTCTCGCCCAGCTCATGGCGGTCGATAGCGGCGGCGGTGATGGCGGAGAGGACAGCGTCGAGAGACTTGCGCTTGGTGGGGGCTCGGGCCTTCAGCAGCAAGTTGATGTTCTTGATGGCGTTCCACGACCGGGGGATGTCGGCGCCCAGCAGCAGCATGACCATCTCCTCGTATTGCTGACCCATGTTGCTCTTGAGGGCCTGGAGGCGGCGTCCGCTCTCTCCTTGCTGGCCGCGAGCCCACACGCCGTCATCATGGAATACGAGCTTGGCGACGGTCTCGAGCTCATCCTGGGAGAGCTGGCTGCGCAGGAAGCGGTGCCAGTGGCGGACGTCCGGGCCGGGGTCGGCAGTCGAGGAGGAGGCCTGGCCGGACTGGGCTTGGTAGAGGAGACGGGCACGGTGCCACCAGGCGTTGTGCAAGGCGCGGAAGGTCCAGGGAGCCCCGAGGAGGGTGGCGGGGCTCTTCGAGTAGATGGAGGCGAGTTGGCGGAGGGCCGACAGCGGCTCTCTGACGCCGGGCTCGGTCTCGATTCGCTGCCGGGGGGCCATGATGCTGTCGGCGGAGTTGATGGTTGAAACTGGGTGAGAGATGGGCAGAGAGGAGCGAAGACAAACCGAGAGCCGGGGAGAACGAGAGAACAAGCACAGCAGAGTCGGAGATCGAATCGCAGCACAGAAAGGAAAGGAGAAGCGGCCAGGAGACAGAGTCAGACGTCGTCGTCGAGGGAGATCCAATGCAACGGCTGCACCTTCCGGATGGCTTCGCTTTCGGGCTCGCACCTTCGGGTCTGCACCCTGCACTCCCGGCCGCACTTTGCAGCGCATCTCCCGTCGTTATTGCCTTTGCAACTTCCATATCAGCCCTCGGAGGTGCAGCACCCAGGAACGGGTGCAGAAACGTAAGCAACCTGGTTCCAGGAAGGAGCATGACGTGACCTTCCTTCGTCTTCCCTTCCTCACCTCAATCTCTTCGTCTCCTTCCCAACCACCATCTTCTTCCAAGTTCGACCTCCATTCAGCCTTACGACAACTTCCACTCTCTTGTCCAGGCGCGACAGCTGCTAAAATTAGGCATCATCTTTTCAGACACTGCGGCGGTATCATCGAGCAGGCAGTCATCGCTCGACGACGGCCGCAACCCGAAGCCATCACGCAAACATCCCGTCAAGCGAGGGACTCCTTCTACGAAGAGTTCAGCATGGACAAAGGACCGTCGAAACGTTCGTCCGCGCCAGTCGCAGGCAGGACCCCCTCCGATACAGCGACCGCCAGACCAGACCCTGACCACTGCCTAGAACCTGCGCGCGATTTTGATCGCTCCGAACATGCTGCCGACAAACAAGACGTGAAGCCCGCGTTTCCCCGAACCAATACGCCGCCACCCGAAGCAGGCACGAAGCCCAAGACCAAGAACTACATCGCACGACGGAGACTGCTCCTGTCGTACTGCGAGACAATCGTGTCCGCCGAGACGTGCGTCAGACGGGGAATGCCTTCGGCCATCGCTGATGATTCCGACGATCTCGTGGACGCGAAGCTGTTGGAGCTGCTTGAGGTTGCTCGGCAGGCCATTGATTTGGAGAAGGAAACGAAGAGCAATTCACCTTGAATTGCGTTGGAGCAGGATGAAAGGGGGAACTGGCAACCAGACATTGTACCGTCGAGAAAGTTTCGAGCTCACCCAGTAGGGGTGTTCACAGTAGGGGAAAAGGCCATAGAAGCACGTCTGCCAGGATGCATAAGGAAGGCATGAAGACCAGCCGCTCAATTTGACCGGATTGATTCCGTCGATGTCCCCAACTTCAATCAGAGTGAGGCACTACCAGACTCTGAGGGGTAACTCGGTTTGTTCAACTGAGCCAGCCCCGTCACGTACCACAAGCCCGGCGCATGCTTATCGGCGAAGGCACCAGATACAATTTCTCCCCTCGTCGCACTTGCGCGCCCCGTCAAAGGGAAGAATCATGCTTGCTAAGCAATGGAACCAGCAGAATGAAGTCTGCTGGGTCAATCGCCACGCATCGCGGGGTGTTCCAGCCACATGTGGCGGGGTGACTCAGCCACCCCCACTTTCGAGGTCGTCTTTCACACAACCTCTCCCATTGACCAGACTGGGTCAGGTAGGTGGGATGATTCCCGATCAGGTTAGGTCTGAGACTTAGGACTCGGGAGATTGTCCCCGGACTGGAGCTTCAGTAAGGCGGAGCTGGAGCTGGTCGGACCAATGACAAAGCTTGTGTGTCACACAACCTCTCTAATTGGCTAGAAAGCCTCCACTTTTGCCCAGACAAGCTCTGCTATTGGCCTGATAAGCTCTGCTAGTGCCCAGAACTGATACTGCGATTGAGGGGTCCCCCGATTCCAGGCCCCAAATCGGCAGGCCGCCCCTGTAGCTACAGTGACGTGGTCGTCGCTGCGGGGTCTGCCAGGTGCCCCATTTCGAGTTCCCAACTCGCATGCGACCATCTTCTTCCTTCAATTACCATTCCACCATCCTGCACTGTCGCGCCGCCACGCGTACCCAGCATGCGACCCATTCCCTGCGGTCATCCGGAACGATCAAGAGGAGCGGTATGGGCGACCTTCATCTGTGGTCGACTCGTCATACGAACAAAGCCCCGGCGTCGCGAACCGACATGCTCCAATTCGCTCGCAACCACCCGATGCCTCGAGCCCTTCTGCCGGCCATCTGCGGTGCCCCTCGCGAATGTCGACAAGTCGAGATCATACCTTGAGGTCACCATGAGGTGTTTGCCCAGATGGCCAGCATTCTCGGGACTGCACCGCCGGCGCCCTTCTTGCTGTCAACGCCAAATCCGACCAACCCTCTCCTCTTCGAAAGGGACTTTCTCCTGTCTCCCGACCGGTCTGCCCGCCAGATCCTCCAGCCTCGAGCGACGAGTTGAGCGATTGGACACGAGCAACAAGTCAGACTACTCGATGCAGGCGACAAGTTGAGCGACTCCAGACGACTCCAGAAGTCACACACCCGGTCGGAGGCCAGTGGAGGCAGCAGGAAACACAAATACGGCTGAGACCATTAGGGGCAGGAACAAGAGCAAGCAGCAACCACAGCCAGCGATGTCAACAACAGTGCCAATGGCCACGCCGTCCTCAACGCCCTCGACGCCTTGGACGCCCATCTCTTCCTCCCTGCCATCGTCACCGGCGCATTCCGTTCCTGCACAACTCCGGCTTTCGACTGCCCGACCAATTCCTCGCCACCTTTCCACGCCCCACGGAAGGTGCAGCGACTTCAGCATCAAGCAACAGAAGTGCTGCACGCGGCCGCCTCAATGTCCGTGGTCACATCATGCTGTTCAGTTAGCCATCGACTGTCGAAGACGCCTCCAATCCGACTCCCTCATTTGACGTTTCTGCCGACATCCATCACCAACCCGAGCTCGAGAACCATCTCCAGCCTGCTGCGCATCAATCCTGACACGTCTTGCTCCCCTCCCACGACCGCGGTGACCCAACTCCCAATTGCCGTCTCGACCAACATCAATCATCGATCCCGATACCTGCTGCTCTCCTCCACGATCGCGACGACCGCTCCTAGTGAATTTTCGTGAGCCGCCCTCCCCACCACGAAATACCTCTGCCAGCGATTGCCAACCTAAGAATTGCAGCGAGCTTGGCCAGCCAGCCCAGCCCGCCTCCATCACACTGGACGAGCAAGCGATCTCGCGCCCAAGCACGAATCGTGCCCGCTGCCAACCGTGCTTAGAACGCAAACAATGCCCCTTTAACTCTGTGTCATCCCACCCGCCACAGCCAGCCCTCCGTTGGGCCTGGAGACTTCATTTCGCATGTCCCGGCTATCCACCGATGCAGTCACTAGTCGCCCCGGAAGTGGCATCATCTTGTCGCATACAGTTACCCATCCACGTCGAACTCCGCTGGAGCATCAGTCAACATCGTGAACTCAGTGCCAGATTGCTCCGCCCTCGCCTCTACAACAGACACGCTTAGACACTGAGCTGCTGGCTGCTCGTTATTAGGTCGTTGCAAGTGACCTCCCTGCCCGGAAATCGCATCAGGTTGTGGTGTTGCTGCCTTCGCGCGTGCTCTGCCTTGCACATGACATGTCCCTTAATGGATGTTTCTGTGCCTTTGGTTGTCTTCCCGTATTCAACTCCCAACGATCCACCGATGTCAGTCCCTCCCCGCTGATTCGCAATGATTTCGTTCTCTACTTCGACCTGCAAACAGGGACCCACCGCCCGTCCGTCTTCCTCTTCCTGTGATGATTTGCGTCCAACAGTCTTCTCTGTTGGGGTGATCGCCGACACAGGAGTACGTCGAAAACGTAACCAATAGCAACCCTGCGATATCATCAGGTAGAGAAAAGGTACCAATCAAAACAGAATAGACTCTCCGGGGAAATGCATCCTGAAAATCCTCTCTGCCATTCCATCTTCACCAGTCGCTTGACAGTCTGATTTTGAGATCACATTCACGATGACCGATTCTCCGCCCTCAACCATAGTCGGCTGCCTCCTCGATGTGTCCGGGTCCATGCACGAAGCTCTTGAGACCGACGGATTCGATGAGCGAGCAACCGATCGCCTCAGCGCTGTTCTCCGCGCAGCTCTGAAGCTTGCTCAGTCAGAGCGCCATCACAACCCTGATGCCTCTGTCTTTATTGGCGTCTTTGGACTTGATACCGACGACGGATACCCACCAGCAATCGATCTCTGCGAAGTCGCCAGTGCGCTTCTGGGGCCCTCTGCTGAACACCGGTCCGGTCATGACTTGCTTATCGCGCGAGCTAATGCTGAAGGCGTACCGCATGTCAAGAAGTACATTCTAGGAAAACTTACGGAGAACGAGGCGCGAATCGTTGATACATATCTTCAGCGTCACCGAGACAAGATCAAAGACTTTGTCGATGCGATCCCGACCGAGGACGAGATACACGCGACGAGGAAGGAAGCTGAATTAGCGGTGATGGCTGCAGGCGTTTGCTTCGGCTTACTGCTCGGCCCCGTTGGTGTTGTCGCAGGCACAGCCGGGGGTGGGCTTATTGGCAAGGCAGCAGCTGATAAGGTCGAAGATCTGGGCGTTGAAAACTCGGAAGCGCTGAAGCTCGCACGCTCCATGTGCAAGGAATGGCTGAAAGACTTTACCAAACTCACGCCACGGCCAGTGGGTGAAGTAGTTGGTCTGTTGGAGCGACTGCAAGAACGTCCGGAGGCAGAGGAGGAAACCGCCAACCCAAACTTGCTAGACACGCTTCGCCGGTACATTTACGGTCGAACGCCCATGCGCCACGTCTTGAAGCTGTCACTTGAAACCTTCAAAAGGCACTCGGACGCCGAACGCCGCGTCCTTATTCTCATATCAGACGGTTTATCTTCTGATGGTAACCCGTTGAGTTTGGCGCGCAGACTGCGAAAAGCTCAAGTTGACATCGCGACGGTTTACCTCACCAGCAATCCGGATGCAGCTCAACGTTCTCTGTACTACCAGCCGGTGGAGAGCTGGCATCGAGGCCGACGCGTGCTGTTCAACATGGCGGGAAGAGTCGCCGGCGTGGCACACCCGATTCCAGCCCTAGCTTCCGTGGGCTGGAACATTCCCTCAGCCGGCGAGATCGCCTTGCATGCCACTGTGTCAACCTCGGCAGCTCTCAACGAGATCTGTTCGCTTCTACTATCGGCACGCCTCGGCTCAGCAAACCTACTGCTCGACCTCATAGGCAGATTCAAAATCGACCAGTACATCAACGACGAGAACATCCGCGGATGCCAGAATCCCTCGGATCAAGGGCAGGAGCCCACCTGCTATGCGCACGCCGCCGCTGCGGTGATTTGTATGGCCATGAGTCGGGTCTTTGGCCGGGAAGGCGGGTATGAAGACGTCGAAAAAGCCCGGCAACGGATCTTGGAGGTCTACCCGGCAAAGCCAGATGGACGAGTTGCCAAGGCCGTATTGGAGAATGCTGCTGGTTGGTATCAGCTGCGAGTCCTGGAGGTAGATGAAGATGCCGCCCGCTAAGCGGTCCTTCGTCGGCGGCCTGTACTTGCAACTTTCCGTCTTTCCAGCGCTGAATACCAATCAATTAAGCCAAGACGAGGCCTCTAGCTTAACTAATTAACTGATTTTTCGCCTAAATCTTACTTAATTTAACTATCTTAATTTAATCTTAATAAAATTACTTATTTAGGAAGTTAGTAAAGCTTTTATAATATATTAATAAACTAGAAACTTATATTATATAGTGTTTTAATATTATCTTACTCTCTATTAATCCTTCTTTTTAAAGTAATACTTATTAATAGTAATATTACTACTTTAAACCTAATTTTAGAGGTATTATATCTCCTTAAGTAGTAATAGCTTTATTAATAGCTTCTATAATATTAGTATTAGTTTAGTAAAGCTAAATACCTTCTTATAGTTAGTTATTATTACTAAGATAGTAAAGATATTAAAAGTAAGCTTACTAAGCGTTAAGAAGGTCTACTAATATAAAATCTACTATTAAATAAGATTATTAATAAGCTAAATAACTAAGAGGGTAAAATACTTCTCTAATTTATTAACTTTATTAATAGTAATATTATAAAAGCTACTATCTAACTATTAACTATAATTAGAGTTTTTAAGCTTTAGAAGTATTATAATTAATATAAATAGCTTTTATAGAAGCTTTTAATAAACTAATTTATTAATATAAATAGCTATCTTAATATATTATTACTCTTAATACTCTTAAAGATCTTCTTTAGTAGTTTAAAGCTACTTATAAGTCTCTTAAGTATTCTAATATTTTTTAAGCTATTATAAACCTCTACTAAGGTATAATATTATAATAATAGTATAGAGGGGAGACTTTTTAAGCTTTTTATAGTAGTTATTAAGTATTTACTAGCTATTAATAATTAATAAGTATATAAATATATAAGAAGTAAAGTTAGTAGTTTAAAGAAAGTATAATAATATAGTAATATATTTAGACTATAAATAAGTAGAGATATTATTAATTAATAAGGTTTATAAGATTAATATTTAGCTAGATTAATATAATACCTTTATTAATTAAGATTATTATAATAAGAGATTTTAGGATACTTATAAAGCTATAAAATTAATCTTTTCTTAAGTAGGAGTATTATAGAGCTTATATTAATCTTTAAATTAATCTAAGAGATACTTAAAGCTTACTAAGATCTCTTAGAGTTAATTATACTTATTACTTTTATTTTAGTTTTTATATCGCTTAGTCTATAAATAAAGAAGCTTAAATATTTTATTTAACTTAGTGAGAACTTATTAATCCTTATTAATTAAGATATCTTTATTAAAGATATAATTATCTTTATTCTTAAGTCTTAAGGAGTAGTATATATAACTAATAATCTAGCTATATTTAAGTAAAGTATAGTAGATTATATTATATATTAAGTTCTATTAAGTAGTATTACTTAATATTAAATTTAGCTTTTATAATAACTTCTTTTATAGAGTAAAAATATATTTATTATTATTAACCTTATTATTAATAAATAAGAAAGCTTTTAAGTATTATAGTAATAATCTAATATACTTAATAATATTCTAAAACTTACTAATAAGTCTTTTAGTCCTCTAATAAACTAGATCCTCTTAGATCTTATTAGTATTAATAAAATAGTTAAACTCTTACTTAAATACCTCCTTATTAACTTTATAAATAATAGTATAACTAATAAAGTTAAGGATATAGCTATAGTATTAAATTTAATAATACTAAGCGTTTATTTCTATATATAAATATAAAATAAATAGATATAAAGCTTTAATATAAATACTATTAGTATTAGCGTTATTAGAGATTATAATATTAATCTTATTAAGTAAGTATTAATCTCTTATAACTATATATATTATAGTAATAATATTCTTATTAAAATAAGTATTAAGCTAATAGTAGAGACCTAAGAGATATTATATTTATTTACTTAATTAATTAATAAAGTAGCTAAAGATAGTAATAATAATATATTAATTAGGGGAGGTCTATAGGTTAAATAATATATAAACCTTTATAAGAGCTTTCTATATCTCTTACTTAATTTATTACTTCTTAAAGTTATAAAGTTATTAAAGTTAATCTCTCTAACTAATTTTTAATTAATATATCTAAGTATTAATATTATAATTAAATAAGGTAAGTATATACTATATATACTAATTACTAAATATTATAAGAAAGTTATTAGTATTAATAAAGAAGCTTATAGCTAGCTTTTTAATTTATATAGTTTTCTACTTAAGTATAGTAATAAAGAGAGATTAATAGTGCTTAAATAGAGTACTAAAGTTATTAAGATTATTAGTAAATATATTACTAACTTTATAAGTATCTTAGAAAATAAAGTAATTATACTTAAAGTATTAAGTAAAGCTAGAAGTAGCTATAGTATTAAATAATTAATTAAGAGTCCCTACCTTATTATAGTATTAATAAACTTAGTAAGTACCCCCTTTTATACTATTAAGTATAATCTTAAAAATAAATATACCTTTATTAGTAATCTAAGAAGTATAACCTTAACTCCTTTTTTTTAAAATAGTATTAATATTAATAAACTACTAGCTTTTCTATATAATATAAAGTAAAGCTTTAAGAGTATTATATATAGCTAAGTTAATAGTTAATATATTATTAATAGTAATAAATAATATATAAATCTAAATAGTAATCTTATAAAGAGATAATATTTTATACTTAATAAAGTAATTAATATATTAATTATAAGCTAATAGAGGTATCTTAGTAATAAGTAAGAAGTTAAAAAAGATATTAAGAAGTATATATAAATAAGATTTTAAAGTGTAATAATAATAATAATAATAATAATAGTAGTAATAATAATGCTAATAGTAATATTAAAAAAAGGTTATTTTTAAAAACTAATAAAGAGGTTAAAAAATAAGCTTTTTTTAAACTTTAATAAGGAGGTTAAAAATATATTAATCTAATAGTATAATAAAAAGTATATTTCTAGTACTTCTAGTACTTCTTAGTAATATTAATCTTATTACTAAGAAGTATTTAACCTTACTCTACTACTTATTAGTATAAAAATATTACTAAACTAATATTAATAACTATTTACTTTTTTTTTTTTAGAGATATATTATAATAAGACTTAATAAGCTAATAATAAGTCTACTATATAGGGAATTATAAAGATATTAGTTTAAAACTAATTTAAGTTATTAACTATAGTATAAAAGCTTAAAAGGTTATAACTTTAAACTACTAAAAAAGAATATCTAATTAACTTTTTTATTTTTTATTAAATCTTTCAAAAATTCTAATTAATCTAAAGGCTAGATATTTATTCTTCTAAGTAATATCATCTTATTAAGCCTAATTAAGCTAACAGCGCTATTAGCTTAATTAATTAACTATCTGAATAGCCTCAATTTGATTAGTTGATTGATTGATTAATTGATTCGGCTTAGTTGGTATGCTGCGCTGCGTCTTTCATATCCCGGCTGGAAGACGTTCTGCGATCACTTCGAACAACCGGAAAAGCCCAAGCCAGTCCTGAAAGGGGCTCAGATGATGCAACATCGTTCCCTACCCAGCGACGGTGGCCATGCTGTGGTTTTAGTCGACTGTAAACCCGACCGCCTCACCTTTCTGAATTCGTGGGGCAAGGATTGGGGTAACGACGGCAGCTTCAGCGTCGAGGACCGCACTGTACTGGAGTTGGATGGGCCGTCCGAGAAGTGCCCAATGCGATTCTACGACGTGTACTGGTTGCTGGCCGATCTGACTCCCATGGAGCGTCAAGCATACAATTCCGAAATAGACGCGGAAGTGAGCCGGCTTGCCAAGCAATACCCGGGCATATTCGATCTCAAGCTGCGCTGTCCCCACTGTGAAGCTGAAACGCCTCTCAGTGAGTTTGTCAGTAACGGTGACAACATACGTCAAGTGCAATGCGTAAGGTGCCCTCAGACTTTCACACCTGAGCCCGAGTATCTCAGAAACTAAGTGTCACGTATGGGGAAGTGGAGACAAGGACTTGATGGTTTAATTCTATTCTCTTTGCTTGTGTTCCATGGGAACCACGGCCTTGCCAGCCATGACTGCAGGGGTGAGTACGAGTACTGTCCTCTCATCGTCGCCGCCATCTATCATCGGTTGCTGTGAAATCTAGCGATGGTAGGCAAAGTTCAGTCGCATTTTTGCGAACATGAGATTGAGGGCATCAGGAAGCTCGAGCACCGTCGGCATAACATTCACTCGTTTGTATTTGCCCTCCCACCGTCTATCGTTATACCTCCCTTCCCACTAGTTCACAATGACCTCGTCCTCTATTTCGGCTTAAAGGGGGGCAAAAGCTCAATAGCCGTCCGTTGTCTCTATCCGTCGTCTTCTCTGATGATTCGGTAGTGGATAATTCAACAACGGCTATCCAGCGTGGGATTCCTAAATTATCTAAATAAATCAGGCTACAGCTTTTCTCCTGAATACGGGAACTGATCTCGTGAGGCGTCCATGTTCACCAGGACTGAATTCCAGCCGTCTCGGCATACAGGAACATTGCGCTGAGACATCTCGCCTAACGTCCCATCGCCCACCCATATTTATAGCTGAGACGGCGTCCTGCCCGATGATAACACCTTCTACGAGATAGAGACCCGGGTCTTTCGGCGGCAATGGCAGCAAACCTATACCATGCGGCTTGAAGGGGGGCAAGGGCTCAATGGCCGTCCGTCTTCTTCGTCTATCGTCTTCTCTAATGATTCGGTAGCAAATAATTTAATAACAGCGGTCCAGCATAGGATTCCTAAATTATCTTAACAAATCATACTACAGCTCTCCTCCTTAACACCTGGACCACGGGATAAGACGCATCTCGCGAAGCGTCTATGTTCATCAGAACTGGGATCCCAATCCGATTTGTCGCGGTATGTAGAAATATACAGAAAAGGCGGCTTTTATATCACGCCCCTTCTCGACACCATCGTGTAGCTTGCGTGAGGCTTGCATGTGGCGAGGCACGAATATAAAAGCATTACCTCGTCCATCCAATAGCCGTCCGTCGTCTTCGTCCGTCATCTTCTCTGATGATTTAGTAGCGGATAATTCGATAACAGCGGCATGTACGTCTAAGCGTGGGATTCCTAAACGAATCGTGCTACGGCTTTCCTTCTTAACACGTGGACCACAGCAAAAGGTGCATCTCGCGAGGCGTCCATGTTTATCAGAGCTGGGTTCCCAGTCCGATTTATCGCGGTATACAGAAATATACAGAAAAGGCGGCTTTTATATTACACCCCTTCTCGACACCATCGTGTGGCTTGGATGTGGCGCGTGTGGCGAGGCAGCCGCCTGCTAGCCGCACTTGCCATCTGCCTACCTGCCCTCTCAAGTCCAGCACCGACCGGCGACGGCAACCTCGGAGGAGCAGCATCGCGCAACCCCAGAATCCGGCTTGCACCACGTCTTCCTGGAGTGAATGTAATTCACAGTGGCCGTATTCGTAGCCGAGACTTAACAACACCTTCGAGATACAGGCCTGGGTCCATCAGCAAGGGCAGTAAACCTATCGAGACGGTAAGGAGGTCATTCCACCATGCAACGCCCGGGTGGCCAGTGTTTGCCGTGCGAGTCCGTCAATGTCTGCACATGTCCATGTCCGCCAAACCCACCCGGGTGTTTCCCATGCCGCCTCTACCTAGAGGAAAGAGATGAGGTAGATACTGAGAACAATTTTTGACGTTTACAAGGAAGATGAAGGGGGAGAATCATGGGTTCACCATATATGGATAGATTCCATGAGACCTTGCCGAAACCCCTGCAAAAAGTCGCCATTTTCAGGTTTGCTCGCCCGTCATCTCACCACTTGGTCGTTCTTTCTTCCAGCAAACATCCCTTCGCATATTGCATGCACCCGAATAAAAAGATACTGCTGATGTCAGTGAGAACAGGGCTACCAATTGACACCTTTTTTGTTCGTGTGCATCGACTTTTGATTTTTAGTGTTGCTGCTCAGCTAAACGTCAATGGTCCGTGCGAGAATCGTCCGATTTTATTTTCACACAAGACTCAACTCAGTAATCTGCTCATTTAATCGTCGGGGCTGGCCGATTTCCCCTCCCATTGGGACCTCCACGATATGTACTCACCTGCATTCTGGAGGTCCGGATAAGTGTGCGGCGATATTCAGCCCTCACGGTTATCGCGAAGTCGTCACTTGCGCGCAAAGTTGTTGATGATGCGCGCGGACATGGGTTCGGCCAATGAGATCGCTGGGATTGTGGCGAAGTGGAGTAACCCGGACAGCAACACTCAGCACAAATGCAGAAAATGATTGTAGTGGTGAGTCCAATTAAAAAGAGAACCAATCAATTTTGCTGGCTTTGCTGATTTCGGCAATACTTTTTATAACTTGATGCAGGCAGTACTTCGCGAGGTATTCGTGGTGAAAGTTGGGCAGGTGCGGGTTTCCCGACCGATGCGGGGGAAAAGACACCTCCACAATTCCATCCCGACCCCTTTTTCGGCTTGCGACTTGACGTCTTCGACTGAGCTTCATCATTACCAGGATGTTACGACATCAACATATGATGCCAGGGCTCACTGCATCCAGACCCAGGCGACGATTCCACACCAAAAGTATGTTACTTGACGGCACGACATCAAACACTCTCACCAGACGCACAAATGATCAACATCGCAGCCGGCAGCACAGTGGAAGCAACAGCAGGGTTCAATTGAAACTACATCACAAACAGCGCATCTCAGACCGTTCCGTCAATGCCAAACATGAGAGCCTTTGCCGCAGTCTCGACCTCGACCACATAGCGCCACGCGAGATGCGTCGCTTCGAATGACTCCCTGATGCGATCCTCCCAGGTCTCGACACCGTTCTCAACGCCCATGCCATACCCACCATGACCGCCACTACCACCATCACCGTGGCCATTGCCGTAGTGCGCGTGCTCCACAACCGGCGCCTCAAGCACCGAAAGTGCATCTGTCGCTCCGTCTGTGAGAATTGTGGTCGGTGGTGGCGGCGGTCTGACGCTCTCCCGGAATCGTCTCGGCAGCGATGAGTGGATAGATGGCAGTGGGGCGATTGATGACACCAACGTGGACGGAGCAGCACCCGCGACGCTGCGGGTTCCGTCTGTGAGGATCGTAGTCGGTGGCGGAGGATGGCGCTGTGCTGCAGACGGCGAGAAAGATGACGGGACAAATGACGGCGGTGCTACCGATGAGACGAACGTGGACGGAGCAGCGCTGCGGGATCGGGTCGTGGCAATGGTGGACGGCGCAGGAGGACCACGCGGTGCTGGAGACGACGACGATGACGACGATGGAAAGGCCCATCCCTCAGAGGATGGCGGGGCGGTCGAAGGAGCCCTGGCCGAAGCGAGGCTACGCGCGGGAGTGGGAGGGAACATGACCGGCGACGGCTCGAGGCTCGGAACCCCAGCCGTCGGTGTGGGTCCCCACAGCGCCGGACCCAGACCGGGAGTGCCGTCTTTCGCCGGGACGGGCGAGGCCGCGGCCGGCATCGGGCCCCGCCTCTCCCCGTCCAAGCCGCTTGCGGGGGCGCTGAACAGGCCTGAGAGCGGTGGTCCGGGGGGGCTTCTGGGATGAACGTGAGCTACGCGGGCGCAAGAAAAAGAGATCAACGTTGGTGCACCGTCTTGAACGTTGGAACTTGGGAGTTCACGTACCGTGTCGGGGTCGAGGGAGTTTGACCTGCGCCCGAGTCAGACGGGAAGGTGAGGGCTTCGACGCTGGATGCCAGCCGATCCATGTCCGCCGCACTCGGACCTCTCTTGGGGTGCGTTGGCGTTTGCGGCGGCCTTCTCGATCGGCCCGTGGACGTGGACGAGGCGGTGCCGGAACGGCGCCGGCTCTGCGTGACAGGAGTTGTCGGCGTCGCAGGTGTTGTTGGCGTCGCTGGCGTGCGATGGTTCGGAGGAGCCACCGGCGTGGATGGGTATGAAGTGGCACCGGGGTCTGAAGACAAAAGACTCAACATTAGCAACGGCTCGGATGGTGAGGCAAACAAGCTTCAAACGGCCATGAACTCACCCTTGTCCCACCAATCCTGTTTTCCCAAGTCAACCCGCAGCCAGCGCTCGATGGCGTCGACATCGTTGAAGCATCTGTCGACCAGCTCCTGGTTGAACCGGTACTCCTCCGTGCCGTTTCCGTTGATGACGACTGTATCCTTGAGCACGACGGGGCCATTGGCGGTGACCCATTTCTTGGCGTAGTGCTTCACAAGGCGATCAAAGTGCGGTCTGATGAGCCTGGCAAAGTCGCCGCCGTGAGACATGTTGCAGGCGATGCGCACGTCGGGCAGGAAGCGCCCTTCGAAGTCGGGGTGGTCGACGTGGTGCGGGAGGCATTGGGCTGCCACAATGGCACGAAGGATGTGGGCGCGCGAGCGGACGCACCAGGACACGCCGCGGCTCCGGCCCTGGTCTCGGTACCACTCGACCCTGACGCCGCATACGAACTGCCGGACTTGAGTATTAGCGAGGATATTCACAGTTTGGGGGTGGGGAGTGGGCAACCTGGTCCGAGTTGCCGAGGCACATTGTTGCTGCGCCTCGGATGTGGACTGAAGCAGAGATTCGGAATGCCCTCACTTTGGCAACAACGCGAGAGGAAACGAAAGTAATTCTGCATGCACGGAGGATCAGTTGGGGACAACTGGCGAGGACAAGTGTTAGATATCCTCTCTCCCAAGGCCATGAACCTGTGGACAGAAGGGAGCAAGCCGGATGCAGGGGAGAACGGACAAACGCCCGGAGATTATGCCCCCGGGCAACAGCCGCATCTTGCGAACATGTTCACCGCTGGGCTTTGACCTCCTCTCGATTTCGGGAGTCTGCAGTATCCACACAAGCAGCTGGATGCACACCAAACCAGCCCAATCCCAGGGCCGAGATGATTGAGCTATGAACACGAAACGTGGGCGGACGGCGACAGTCCATGCCACGAACCTGCTCCTGGCAGGATGTTCGCCCAGCCTGCAGTTCACCCAAGAGATCAAGCTGCCGCCATGACGATCCCAGGTGAGTGGGTGGGTGTCTCACGGTCCTGCACATGGGGCTGCGAACTGGTGAGTTCGTTTGGTGCCGGCATCTTGGAGCCTCCGCCACATGGCGGAAGCTTCCATGACGAACATCTCCATCTGCCCTCCACTTACTCAACGACCAGACTGAGACCACCAACGCCAAGGCTTGAAGATGCGACTCCACTGGGTCTCAGCTCTCATGGTAGCTGGCTTCCACCGCATCTTGGTCATGAATCTTACCAACATGAGCAAGTTGCAAGTCTCATGGCAGACACCCTACATGATTCGCCATCTCCAGCGTTCCAAGACACTTCTTCATGAACCGCACAAGCGGTGAAGATGTCTCTCATGGCAAAGACAGACATATCTCCAATGGCGGTGCTGCGATGGCCGACCGGTCGAACCAGTCTCTATCCCCTCAACTCAGTGACGCCCAAGCGGCCAGAAGACCAGACAAAGAATCGGCCAGGAGGTTGAGATTGATTAAAACCTCTGGCCCTGTCCGTCGCATTCCAAATTTGACGATCGAGAACTCAGATCTCTCATCACCCTCATCTTCTGTGGCTGCTTGAGATCTCCCATCTTTGGCTGGTCATTTCCCAATGTCCCGGGTTGAAACTTGCGGCCGGCTCTCTCTGTTATCAGAGTGTATCACCTCATCTCCATTACTGGATGATGATCACCACCAGCCGCTTGAGACCTCCCATTTCTGGGCGGTCATTTCTAACCGTCCCGGCTTGGACCTCGCGGCCGGCCCGCTCTGTTATCAGAGTGTGTGCCTCACCTCCATTATTGGAGGATCATCACCCGTGGATTCCATTATTGGGAACCACGTTTCGGCCCATCTTCCGATCCGTGTCGCTGTTATCAGCGATTCGTTCGAAAGGTGGCGTCGGACAGCTCCCATTATTGGGTCAGTTGTCACATTCCAAGACCACGGCACCCTGTTATCAGGATGGCCTGGTCTTCGGGTGGTTCGGCTCACGTCCGGACTGCTGCCAGGGGACGCCTATGCCTCCCTGCGCCTCGGGCACTTTTGCCCCAGAGTCACCAGGTGTTGTCCATTATTAGACGACTCCGCTGGGCTCAAGAGGAACGGCTCTCAAGCAGAGAACATTCTCTGCGTGCGACCGGTGACCTCTCGCCCTGGCAAGCGTGTTTCTCAGCATCCCGGAGGGGCACGTTCCCTCTCGCCATCGTGTACTCAGATCCAAGGGGCTCAAATCTGAGACGGACGGGTACCTGCATATTGACAAGGTCTCTCTTTGTACCCAAAGTTGAGGAAGTTTCGAGCCCACCCAGGAGATTTCACGGTAGGGAAAAACAGTAGAAACACCTCGGTTCTTTGTAATACATGAGGTCCGGTGGCCCAATATGAGGGCTTTCGGCGGTAGCTGAAAGTCATAAATACTAGCCATTTGAAGAGACGGTATGCCACGCAGGGTTCAAAGATAACGCTCCATCCAGAAAAACTTCATTTCCAGACACAGCCGTTGCTCCAACTGAGACCTCCCCACACACGCGCCTGAAAATTTCAAATTCCCGTTACGCCATGCAGCCACCCATCGACAACAAGCGCGTCAATGACGCTCACCGGCGACTCCTCGCTCAGCTCGAAGCCAAGAAAGCTGCAGCCAACAACAAACCCGCCCAGCAACCATCCCGGCTCGTCCCAGCCGATCATCAACCACCCCAGCACCAACCAGTCAACCGTCAACCTGCCCAGCAACCCCCTGCTCAACACCAACTTGTCCAATACCAGCCTGTCTATCATCAACTAGCCCATCACCGATCAGCCCAACATCGACCAGCTCAGCCGCCTGCCACTAGACAAACGCCTCCCGATGAGAACCACCGCACACGAGGTGGGCAGGGCGCCGTCCCGCGTCCGGACAGAGACCAGATCCCCAGCCACTACCACAACCAAAGCCAGCAGCTTGAGGTTCCGACAACAGAGGAGCCAGATTCTTGGTTCGTCCGAGAGGTGTCGGCCATCATGCGTGCGGTTCCGACAATAGAGGAGGCGGGTTTCTGGCGTTGGGGCTTTAGATTTGTCGGAGCGATCGTTGCCATCATCTGGACCGTCGCAAAGCCCGTGCTATGGTGGCTTGCCACAATCATACTTCCCATCTTCATTGGCTTCTTCGTCTTGGCCTTCCTCGCTGGGTGGGCCATCGAAGGCCTCTTCGGCGGCCTCCACACTGTCCAAGTCCGGGCCTGCAACAACATCTTGCCCCATAGATTCTTCTTCGCCGACTGGTGCGATGGGATCAACAAAGCCTCCCATCCTCTCATAGCGTCTTCAAAACCGCTTCCGTCCTCCTCCGCCGGGAATCCCTTAACACTCACCGAATCGTTCTCCCTCCAGAAGCCTGACCGCCATTTCTGTGTCTTTGCCTTTGGCGACATGCTTGGGGCCATGGCCGATGAGCAGCAGAAGTACATGACGGATAAGCAACGGGAGTCGTTTGCCCCCATGCGCAGGGCCGGTGCCGTTGTGGAGCAGCTGCAGGACATTGGACGTAAACAGGCACGCACCGTGGAGCGCGCGCAGGAGAAGACGCTGCGTCTGGTCCACGACCCGGCCGCTCTGTGGTCCAAACATGATCCTCCACCGCCCCCTCCACCCCCTCCGCAACCGCTCGGGTTGGTTTGGAGTCTGCTTGTTAGGACGCAGCCCCCTCCGCCCCCACCGTCCGTGATTCTGCAGGGACTTGTCCGTGAGATTCTTCGGGTCCTGCAGGGGGAGGTGACAAGCCGAACGCAGTTCGTCAAAGACGTGGCGGCTCTGAGCCAGGAGATGGCAGAAGTGGCATCCAACGTCTGCGGCTGGAACACGGTCCTTGAGGAGCGCATCTCGGACAAGACCCAGAGACTCATTGAGGGGGAGGCCCGTCACAGCAACAGCATGAGTCCCAAATATTTGCTGCTACGAATCTACTTCTTCTTCGTCGACAATTGGCCCCGCCGGGCGACAAAAGGTACCACCGGCGAGGTGTTGAAGTGGGAGGACCAGGCCAACGTCATCCGCAACGAGATCACCAAATGGAGGCGGCGCAAGTCCAAGGCCAGCGTGTTGTGCAAGACGCTGACCGTGGGAGCGGGCAAGACGGCCATACTTCTCAAAGCCATCCAGAATGAGGAGACACATCTCGGTGAGATGGCACAGGGGGCAAAAGATCTGCTGGCCGAGGTCTTGAGCCAGGGGGTCAATGCAAGCAACAACGCGTTGCAGCACTTGAGCAAGACGGCGAGAGACCTCTGCATCGCCTACTTACAGAGTTTCCAGCAACATTATCCCAAGTGTTAGAGTATTTGTGAATATAGCTACTTTCATTATAATTGAGAAGTGTGAGATCCTGGGAACAACTTGGTGACATCTTAGCCTGGGTGAGATCCAGATGAGATCCGGTGAGATCCCGGTCAGTGAGCACCTCACGCAACGACTCATCTACCGAATTAATCTTCAGTTGCCAGCCGGCATCCTCCCTCCAACAAAGATTCGTGATCGTTCTGAAACTAGAAGAAAGATCTCTCGGAGCACGGGAAAATCACTTTCTCCGCCTCTGCCGGCGGAACAAGATCCGAAGCAAACGGCCGCCCCCGCAAACTGCGATGTGATCCAATCTATTCCACCGGAAACACCTTCATCGTCAAATCGAATCGCAGCCCTTCAACTCATGCCACTACTTTCATTGCAGTGCTGAAAGTCTCGCTCCGGAATCTCATCTCCCCCGAAAACGCCCTGAATTAACGTCTTCTTCCCATCCCACCGCTCATCCCCGCCGCCGGTCATTATCCATGTGCCCAAACAATAACGAGAAGGTTGGATTCAAGTGCTCATCAACCCGTTCAGTCGCCAGAATACTGACATCACAACAGAAAGTATGCAAGTCCGATGTGGAACACCTCTGTATCCCCGGCACCAAAATCGTCTTCGGCGCCGGCTGTAAGCGCTTCATGTGGCAGCACGTTATCCGCTTTCAGCTCTGCCCCAAGCACACCATCTTCAAGCGGTGGAGCGACATCGCCCTCAAACTGTACGCCGTCCGCCCGGATGGCTCGTCCTGGACCGAAACCTGGGACCTCGCCATCCGCCCCAAGATCCAGGCCGCCATGACACGCTATGCCTCAGAAGCTGTCAAACTGGGCCTCGTGCGCGAAGAGGATGGTGAGCGGGTCTGGGAGGATTGGTCCAAAGGGTTCCTGTCCGATGAGTGGGACGGCAGCACTTTCGATGAAGACTACGCCCGCCGGTTGCTGCAGAAGGTGTCGGATGCCGAAGACGCCGAGCGTAGAAAGGACCGCCGGACCCAGGATGAGATGGAGGCGCTACGCGCCCAGTTGGTGGGGTTGGGCCACGTTCCTGTCGTCCCGCCACCCCGGAATGAGGACAGCGATGACGGATCCAAGGACCGGCAGCGACCCGCCCCCGCTGAAGAGCCTGCTAGGCGTGGCCGTAACGAGGAAGACGAAGATGATGTCGTGCCCGGCGATTCGATTTCGAGAGTGGTAGTCAGCAGCGACGCCCTCCCCGCTGAACCGATTCCTGTTGCCTCTGACGTCGCTCGGGTCTTTGATGACATGTCTCTCGCCGAGCTTGAGAATTGGCTTCGCCGGGGATGGGCTCAGCTGTTCGATCTTCGAGCCCACATGTTCGACGTGCTCTTCCCACTGGCGGTTGGCAGAGAGCGCGGCAGACAGCCCGACAACGACCACATCATCGCCATCAGGGAGGCGCGCGAGAAGCTTCTGGAGGAGATCTTCTTCCTCGAGGACGTCATCGACGACCGTCGGCGACCATTTGGCGCCAGGCCTCGCAGGTATCCCGGCCAGGGGCTCGTGTACAAGTATTTTCTCGGCGGTGATGGTCCGTCTCCCGCGATAGAGGCGAGGGTTTTGGAGGCACAGAGACCTTACCTTTGATGCCTGTGGACACTGGAGGAATGGTAGGAGTTGGGCTCACGATGTTTATTTTCAATGGTGGACGAGGAATCACGAATGACGATGTATGATGCGAATCGGCAATGGATAGAAAATGCGTTGGAAACACCCAGCGCTGCACCCCACCAAGACAGATCAATTAATTCCAACAATCAGACAATTAAAAGAGGAAATCCAGAGATTCCATTAGCTGAAACGATGACACCCTCTTTCTGGCTGTTTTTCTTAAGGCCAGGGCTCTCAAAATCACGCTCACTCCGCTGCCCAGGCTATTTAGGGGCCTTCGGGGGGATTCCGGGGCCTTCGGGTAGTCTTTCGGCCTTTTGCGGGGCTGTGCTTTCGGGAGCGGACTGAGTGGGGCCGTAGGAGTCGGGGCCAAAAAAACCGGGCACGACCCGTATTCGAACTTCGGGACCTCATAAAGGGGTCCAGCAACCACTACCCCTTCACCACAGAGGGCATCGTATACAAACATCAATGGAAATCATTCAATATAGTTCAAACAATTCAGATTACCGTGAAGAATGATTCAATCAGCCAAGTTTGACCCCTCAGTTCGATTTGATTAATTGGTGTGCAGCGCTAGCTAATATCAATACTCGACCATGATTGAGTCGACTTCTCTCATGGTGTCACTCCACAAGTGTAGTTTCTAGCATCCTATCAAAAGAGTTTTCAATTCAACAACTAATACTACATGTAGGTCCTCCATCCTTTCCAACTCAACCATGTCACTACCCGGTACAAAGCCACAGAGAAAAAAGGCAGAAGTTCTCACAGCTACGAGTTGCCGCCGGCCCCGGGCCTCCGTCTCTCCCTGCGCCAAGCCAAGAACATCCTGAAGTCGTCCTGCGAGAAGGCTCTTGACCCAGAAGAACCCTCGTTGCCGGCGGGATCCGCATCATGGTGGGACCTCTGGGGGACCTGCGAGAAGCCCTGCGATCCAAAAGAGCCCTCGTTGCGAATGGAGTACGCAGCATTGCGGGAATGCTGGGCGTCTGGAAAGAAGGCCCCTGACCCAAAGAAACCCTCGTTGACAATGGGCGCCGCATCATCGTAGGACGCGTCCTGTGAGAAGATGTTCCACCTAGAGGAACCCCCGTCGCCAATGGGCTCCGCAGGACTGTGGTGACTCTGGGCGTTCTGCGAGAAGGCCCTCGACCCAAAGGAACCCTCGTGGCCGATGAGTTCCGCATCATTGCGGGGCCCCTGAGCATTCACGATAAGCCTCTCGAGACCTCTCCGGACTTCCTGAAAACATCTCTGTAGCTCAGGCCGAGGGCGGACCGGCCGAGGATCGACCGCCAGAGAGGGGTACGCTGGGTCCCGCAGGAGGAAGCCGTTCGGGTCAGCCTGGGCGCCAGGCTGCTGTGGGCGATTGGAAACATGGTGGTTGTCGAGCAGAACGGTCGCTTGTGTGGGCGGAGGACGTTTATCGGGCTTGGGAGGGGCATTCAGAGGAACCTCTGAATTGATCTCGGGCTCGGGAGAATCGTCAAGAGGGGCCTCGAAGCTGATCTCAGGCTCGGGCTCGGGCTCGGGCTCGGGCTCAGGCTCAGGCGATGCAGGCTGTGCGGATGTGGATCCCGAGGGTGGATTCTGGGCTGGCTTCGGGCCAGGCTTCGGGGCGGGTTTTTGGACTTCTTTGCTTCCGATCTTGGGATTCTCCTGCTTGGGTCAGTCAACGTCAGATGAATGAAGAGGGAGCAAACAAACATTCTCTTTGTGGATGGGATAACTCTTCCATGTTTGATGGTTCAACACACCCCTGAGAGACCTCATGTTGTCCCAATCCTCTGGCCATGCTTCCTCTTGGGCCGTTTCGTCATCGTTGTCGTCCTCCTCGTCGTTTTCGTCGCCTTCTACAGCGGCTGGAAGCGCATAATCCGGCTGCAGCAGTTTGGCACGGGCGAGATGCTCAGCAGTAATGAGGTCTCTGTTCTTGTGCTTCGGTTCGGCGTGGTAGAGTCTCTGGAACTGGCGGGCACGCAGCTCCCAGAGGGGTTTGCCGGTGAGTTTGGTCTTCATCTTGTTGCCCTGGCTTGCTGGGTTGACAACAGATGGAGCATGTCAGTGGTCAAGCTTTGGGGACGAAGCGAGGGAATGATGGGGTGAGCGGGGAGAGAAGTACTCACGTTCTGGGAAAATGACGCGTTTTACAGTCAACTCACCACGGGCAACAGCGTGGTTGGCCATGATTATCTATCGGGTTTGTCAAGTGTGTATGGGAGGGCAAGGTCTTCGAAGGGCCGGCAACGCAATCCGCCACGGACTATGAAGTCATGTGAGATGCCGATGGCCCATCTACCCTGCAGGCGCTTCACCCAATCGCCAAAGGATGACAAGCATCAACATGTTGGAAAAGCATTCCTTTGTGGTCTCTATGCTAACACATGTCCCCTTTTCCAACACGTCACCCCAAAGAAAAGGTCCAAGCAGCAGTTTCGCTATTTAAACATGCACAAAGAATCCATCTACCTGCGCCTGCTACTGCTCTCTATCCCACAGACATATGTTGCTCAGAGCTGCCTTCCGATCCACCCCCAGTCCTGTCAGCACGGGCATGAAGGCCCGGTCGTATGTGGAGCGCAGCTTGCTGTCCATCAAAACGTTGCCAATTTGCGTCCAAACCTCGCTCGCCTGGGGTGCCACAGGCGGAGACAATCCCAGAGAGGGCTCACCGTCGCCAAAGCTGCCAAAATACTCCTTGCCCTCGGCTCCATGCAGCGAGCCGACAGCGGGGCCGTCATCAGCCAGGGGGGCGCCGTTTGCATGGTAAATCCCGTCTAGCCGGTCCTGCAGCGCCGACCAGACGTCCGCAACACCTGGGTTTTGAGCGTCGTCCAGGCCCAAGGCCTCGTAGAACGTTGGGACCTGCGTTGCCGTGCTGTAGGACAAGTAGTCCCAATAGACGTCGCAGATGTTTTTGATGGTGTCTGCGAGACCAGGGGCGAAAGAGACTGTCAGACTTTGCGCGGCAACATGTCTGTGCGTTTCCGGCTGTGTGGGAGGGGATTTGGACTCACTCTGGTGACCGGGAGTGCTGATGATGGGCACCGGCAAGGGTGGACTGCGCAGTTGGGTGTACCAGTAGATGGCGGCTGCGACGGCGCATGCGCACGCCCGCATGAGGAATGTTCTCATTGTGTCGTCAATTGTCTTCGTGTTTGATGTATTCCGTTTCTTGTATTCTCTGCGAGTGGTGATGGGTATGAGAAGGGCGCAGTCGGCGAGCGAGGAGATGGCGGGTGGATGAGTGACTAGCTGAAGGCATCAACAATGAGGCGGGCGGAGGGCCGCCCGGCGATGTCTTATATTCCTCCACCATTACAGTCATATCGCGGTTTGCGGACCATTCGTCTTTGGCTCTGGTCGCATCCCGAGTCGGATGGGCTGTCTTGGGCGACCCTGTCTTGAACCCGTTTGGGAGTGGTGGTTGACTCTGAGGCCAGGAGACCAAATCAAGCCATGATGCAGCAGAAGAACAGGGAACAAGACGGAGTGAAGGTCCGAGTAGAGGAACGCCGTCACATCTCACTGTGAATGCGGGCCGGCCAACGGCTGGTTGCGCCTTGCCATGGATGTCTCGGCCACTGGTGGTGGACCAACTTCAGCCATCATCTCGTTGCTTCCATCATTGCCTCGTCGCTCAGTGTTGGCGATAAGAATGGGCATATACCCCTTATTCATACTGCGGCCACGCAAGATCTGCATCGACAGTTCTTCGCTGTGTCGAGCACCACCGTCGTCACCATGGCCCCCAACACGAACCCCTCCTTGGTGAAGCCGGACAGCGGAGTCGTCCAAATGATCCGCGAAATGGACAGCCCGTCGGCCTCCCAACACATGATACTGGCTGCCCACCATACGCACAAGGCCGCCGCCAGAGCCAAGGCCGCCACCATCGCCGCCGGAGGATCGCGCCCCGGCACCTATCCCTCGGGCCGCAGCGAGGCCGCGTCTCGGCTGGCCATCTCCGGCTTCACCAACTTTGATTCCGACACCCGCATGTCGGGCATGGAGCCCGCACAGCGCGAAAGGCTGGAGAAGGCGATGCGGCACACCGAGCAGCAGTGGCGGCAGCAGCAGCAGGAGCCCCAGGGTTCCTCTCGTCCAGTGCACCATCAGCAGCATCAACAACAGCAGCTGCAGCTACAGCCGAGGACCAAGGAGCTGCTGGCCGCTCAACGCGAGCATCTCTTGGCCGCTCTCGAGATCGATCACGAGCTGCGCGGGATTTGGCTGGCCCAGAACACGGAGTCTGGCTGAACCAGGTTCTGTTTAGAAGGGCGTACACTTGACTTTGTTTTTATTTTTGGATTTGCTGAATGCGGAAGGATTGGTGTGACATGGGTTCGTGTTTGTGTTTGTTCGTCCAAGTTTTGTTTGTTTGCTCAAATTGGCCCGGAAGAAGGGAGGGGGGATTGGACGTAAATTGTCATATACCTACTCATTAATTCATGCCAGATTACAGTGTGTTTGGAATCCCTCGAGCTTCCGTCCAGATCAATCATCACAAGTTACGACGCAACCCGATTGCCACCATGTCCGGCAGATGCTCCAGATCACAGTCATACTCGGCTGCGAGTGGGCGCGAGGAGACCCCGCTCGTCATGTTCGGGGAGGGCTCCAGGTCACGGTCGTTTTCAGCCTTGAGCAGGTGCGATGGATCCCCACGCGCTGTGCCCGGCGATGGCTCTAGATCGCGGTCGTCCTCGGCCTCCAGCAGGCGTGAGGAATCCCTGCCGACCATCTCTGGAAAAGCCTCCAGATCCCGGTCGCCGTCAGCCTCGAGTGGGCGCAAGGAGTTGTCTCCCGCCGTGCCCAGCAGAGGTTCCAGATCCCCATCATCCTCGACCTCAAGCGAGCGTGAGGAATCCCTGCCCAACCACCACGCCATCCGCTTCACGATCTCATTGCCCCGCATCGTCGAGAAGGGCACGGACGAGACATCCGAGCGACGAGGCCAAGACGGAGAAGAA